TGCAAAAATGTCCACATTTTTTCCAATGTCCATTTTCGAATTATTTAGACCAAAATACCCCTATTAGGAAATTCTATTTTCACGCCCAAGACTCTTAGTTCATTTCTCCCCAAATTAACCCCAATTCCATAACCCTCAAATTCCAAATCGATTACATTTACTTGTTGTGAAATCTGAAGGAGCGACTGGGAGGGATCTGAGGCTAGGGGTGGGCAAAAACCGACCCAACCCGTCCAAACCGCCCGACCGGGTTGGGTCGATTTTTTTGTTGTTTTTAAGTGGGTTCGGTTTTTTGGCTACGTAGGTAGGTTGGGTTGGGTTGGGTCGGGTTGTGGGTTAACCTATAAAAAGCAACCCAACCCGCCCAACCCAACCCAAACTTAAAAAAAAATGGCTAATCACTCGGTCACTCCCAAATCTAAAAGAAACCCTAAAATCTCTCTATTCCCTCTCCCTCTCCCTCCCTCTCGCTTTCACTCTCACTCAAGCTCTGAAAGCTTGCGAATAATTGTACTGGATTATAAGGGTTCATGGTGTTCCATGCTGTCGGTGGGGCCATTGGATCTGGACTTGAATCTTTTTTGCTTGAGAGGCTTTCTGTTGAATGGTAAGAAATCAAAGTTGGGGTTCACTATTTACCCATCCTCGCAAGTTTCGACTGCTGTGGTTGAGCCATACAACTCTGTTCTCTCGACCCACTCTTTGTTGGAGCACACTGATGTTGCCGTGCTTTTTGACAATGAGGTGATCTATGATATTTGCCGCAAGTCACTTGACATTGAGAGGCCAACATATACTAATCTGAACAGACTTATCTCTCAGGTGATCTCTTCTTTGACTACATCTCTGCTATTTCTTCTTTGCTGACACTATTTAATGATTTGGAGCATGTTGTATTGATGAAATTTTTTTACCTTATAAGTTCCAATCCCGTCCCACTATTAGAGAATTTTGTGGGAAACCAACTTCTAAATTGGTTGTGATTTCTGCTCTTTAGTGTCTCAGTTGAATTTTATCTATGCTGTGGTAATTAGTTTTGTAAATTTTGAGGCTCTGGGACTATATTAGTGATGCTTTACACCCAAAAATGAATAACTTTAATCTTTAATAACAAGTTGTCCTAAACCGACCAACCCAACCCGACCGATACTTGATTGGGTTGGGTTAAATTTCGACCAAACCGATCATGTTGGGTTGGGTTAGGGTTGGGGCGAAAACCGACCCAACCCAACCCACGCCCACCCCTATCTGAGGCGAATTCGTGGCTAAAGGAGAAGGAAGGGGCCACCGACTGGCGATTGAGGATTGGATGAAGTTGAAGGGAATGAAACAGCAGGTCGGCAGCGTAACAACATTTTCTGTGGAATGTGAGCTATTTCTCTTCTCTATTTTTTTTATGCCACTGCATCCATGATTTATCATCTATGTTATGTGATTTGTGAATTGTGAATGTTGAGTTTGAGTTGAGTGTTGACTTGGACTGTTCACTATTGTAGTGTTGTCTGTTACCTGTTGGAACTTGGAAGACGAAGTTGGAAGTACTTAGAACTTGGGTTTGGTCGTTTAGGTCACTTTGAAAAAATATTTGATTTTTGGGTGTTCTTCTAAGTCAAGATTTGCTGTTGTTGGGTTTATTTGTATTCTAAGAAAATCACATGGTGATCAGGCGACAATAATGAATAATCCCAATAACTTCCCAAACATTGAGACCAAAAATTACAGTATACTTAGAGAGTTTCGCATTCAGATCAGAAGCCATATTTAGGAAGTCAAACAACCTGGAGGAATTTGTCAAAACCCTATTTCATCTTATTTCATTTCAAACTCGTAAATGAATCAGCATCAAGATATGTATAAGATCCATTTGTAAAAATCTTATTTCATATCTCATATCATTAAGTCACAAGATTAAGCCACAGGAAAAAGACCTATAATTAATTGCACTCTGTAAATAAATTCAATAAAATAAAGAAATCTCATTTACATATATATTGAATAACTTTTAATATTATTTAATCAAGTTTTAATAAACGACCGGGCTATTATGGTTGTTGATTGTCAACGATCAATGGATAATGGTCAACCTTCGCTCTAACTGGACTTTGGTGCTGGATTTGCCACTGAGTAGGGTATAAGGTTTTAAAACTACCCATTCTCTATTTCTGCTTCAATAACATGAACTATTTTAAAATGTTTTGGTATTAACCGAGGTTTATTTTAATTTCAACAATTAAACAGCTTAGTTTAGACATGGTATTTTATCAAATCATTGTATTGTAAAAATCATTTTTCTTTTACTGTATTATAAACAAGAATGTTATATTTGACTTCGTTTGTACGTTCTCATACTATTTGTTAAAGTGTTGTTTTCGTTTTTTTCATTTGTAGATGAGTATGACATATCGATATAAAATTTCGAAGAAAGAATGTGTTCCGGCCCATGTGTCTCAGGTGAGCAACAGAAAATACATACCAGTTGTCCTCAACAAATTGGATCCACAACAAAAGCGTTAGTTGGAGGAAAGTTGTATAGGACATGTTGCAATGTTACCAGAGCTGAAACTATCCGCTCAATTAATTCATGAAATGGTAAACAGATCAGTGATCTGCTGAAAGCGGTTTGAGGCTTGGTTCAAGGTGAACCAAAGGTTTGCATGATTTGGACTGCTAGAGTTTGCACTAATTACTGGCTTGAAATGCGGTCCAGTGCCTAAAGGTATCGAAGTTGACAAAATCCTAGAGAAAACCTGTCTACAGGA